CCTCACAAAGCAAGGCACTACGCAGCAGCTCACGCTCCAGCCGAAACCCTTAGTAGTAGTAGTAGTAGTAGTAGGAGGAGGAGGAGGAGGAGCAGCAGCAGCAGCAGCAGGAGGAGGAGGAGGAGGAGGCGTCGTAGTAGTAGTAGTAGTAGTAGTAGTAGTAGTAAATATAGTAGCAGCAGCAGCGGCTGTAAGAGTAGCAGGAGTAGCAGTAGCAGTAGCAGTAGCAGTAGCAGTAGCAGTAGCAGTAGCAGTAGCAGTAGCAGTAGCAGTTAGTAGTGGTAGCATGAGCAGTACCAGCAGCAGCAGCAGCAGCAGTAGTTTGGGTCGTCGTCGTCGTCGTAGTGGCCGCAATCGTACCAGGAGTGGCAGTAGATGAAGAGGCAGGAGTAGGAGCAGAAGTGGCAAGTAGCAGTCGTCGTGTTACATCGTCGTCGTCGTCGTCCTGGTCCTAGTCCCAGTTCTAGTCGCAACATTAGTAGGAGGATGTAAGTAAGCGGGCAAGTCAGCATGCACAATTAGGTCTTAACTTTGAGTGCAGCGCGACAGGCTGCCCATGTGTTTGAGAAGCACGAGAAATCCTGTAAATGTTGTTTCATCAGTTCATCACCAAAACCCAAGAACGGGGATGGGGGGGGCTGGACGGCAAAAAAAGAACCAAGCACGTTTAGACAGAAGGGGTTACAGCTCCGACGAGTTGGTCTAAACGCATCTGCAAAGTTAAGCCGGTTGTCCATGCCTTGTTAGCTACTCAGCTTGCGAATTTGCAGGCTGCGGCGTTTCTGTGCTGGCGAGATCCTGATATCGATAAGTTGGGTTGTTGAAATTATAGCAGGTTGTCATACTAGGTCAGGAAGTATGTGTGTATTCATGCCGCAGCAAAAGCTGTATTTAGTATCGCCAGCAGCAGCAGCAGCAGCCGCCATGACGCAGGTGCAGCACTACACGCAGCAGCGATCTCGTACTAACAACGAGAGCAGTAGGGATAGTGACGACAAAGCGAACTGACAGAATTCACGACAACGACAGTGCAAATGCACTTGCAGTACTGCTGATGACATTGCTGTTGGTGCTGGCGTTAAACTGCATAAGGGAACAATTTGGCACCAGTACATTTTCTTGATTTCAACTTCAGCGTGACCGTGATCTAACTCTTGACCCGAATGGGATTAGTCTTTTGATGGTATTGAGGTCTGCTGTTCCTGCCCGGCTAACTGGACCCTGGACTAGACCACGAACCCTAATTTTGAAAAGCTCTAAACTCCAGATCCTCAATCTCATGCTCTAGACTGTTGTGGAATTCTGGCTTAGCTTCTCTTCAGGTATCGCAATTCTCATGAGCAAGCAGTGCCTTGGCATGGCGAGGTCACGACCAGAAAGCCACTTCACAGTAACTTCTGCATCAAATATGTCGTAGCCGACATGCGAGGCTGTTACGATGTGATGCTAGGTGGTGCTATACACTCATGCGGCAGTCTGCCGTAGTCTACTAGGTTGCAGAAAGAGCTGGACTTAGCTTAGGCTTGTGAGAATCGTACCGTTGCTTCTAGCGGACCTGGCCTACACGAGCTCCGACGACAGCTCCACTCGTGACTCGGTCTCCGACTCGCTGTGCATCATTATCCAAGAGCATATACATGGGAATGCATGTGCATGGCGCGGGACGGGACGGCGGGGCGAGGTGGGTTGCAGCGAAGTGTTGAGGGGTTCCGAGTCGCACCAACACCAAGACCGGGTGAACTGCGGGACCTGCAAAGTATATCGGTATTCGCAGACTTGATAGGAGAGGCTGGTGCATTTGCCGATATGGGCTCTTTTGTGCTGTTGCTCATGCATTTCTGGACGATGCATGGAAGCTGAGAAGCGGACAAGGATTTGTGGTTGGCCTCGCGCCGTCTGGTGGTGACGAGCTGCTTAGATCGAATTCATGTCCAGGGCTATTAGTTCCAACCGAGCCGAGACTGTCGAATCTCGTGGCCCCAGGTCTGCGATCTGGCTCTTCGAGGTCGGTCCTTGTAGCTTTCCTGCTCCTTTGCCGCAGTGTCTTGCAGATGCAGCGCGGAGCGATCAATGCGAACAGAAGCCGTTTGCGAAGACGTTGCGGCTGAGGACTTGCAGCTCTTGCTGGGTCAGTTGGGCAGCAAGGGTGCACTTCGTGCGGTGCTGAGGAAGTGTCCGTGTGGCCTGGGATGCGAGAGCGAGAGAGAGGGTTCTTGGACTCAGGTGGAGACCTCGACGACTGCTTTTCTATTTCCACAACTGTCCTTGGAACAGGTGGTTGTGGGAAGGTTTACCTGGGAAGATCTAGATGGAACCTTGGCCAGATATCTGAAAGTCGCAACTGACCCGGTTCTCGGCTATGCCACAACCGTCTGTCAGCCCTCGTAGCTTCTGGCGCCGGCTCCGAAGCATCTTATGCTACAAGTAACACTGCATTGTAGCATAAGACAGCAGTGTGTAGGACATTTAGAGTTTGCTTTGCTGGATAACCAGCTATGACACTGTGACTTACGGTCTGCATTACTTTGCACCGCACGAGCCCAGTTTGACTCCCAGGAATCTGCCGCCGGTTTCAGGAAATTCTGCGAACGCCTCAGAGATGCGATGCGGTAGTCTCGCGAGCTGAACGGTTCGAGATGATGTGGTATGATGCAGAGGAATAGGGGAGAACACAACATGCCGGTGTAGAATACGGTGACCCAGCATGCAGCGGACAATGCGGCACACCATGTTTTGGACGTTATCGCAGACTAAATGTCGTGGGCATTCAATTATTGCATATGCGGGTTACTTGAATCTGCACACACAGACAGGCATAAACTACCATGTAATCTGGTGCGTTGTGCACGCAGCATGGAGCAGAGCGCGCGGATGTTGAATGAGATAGAATGAAGTGGTATTTACAATGTAGTAGAACAAAATAAAGCAAGCGCACACATCGTTTATGCTCGTACAATGTGTCGATTTCTCAATCAAGCGAGCTGACAGCTAAGCCGTAGGAAGAGGCATGTGAATGCATATTCCAATCATACGTATATGGGTGCGTATGCGTATGTGCGTCCCATTGCAGACGAGGCTTGTTTCGAATTCGAATGATGCGCCCAGAGTTAGCAAGAGGATTATCGGTCTCCTTTTAGACAAGGTGGTGAAACGTGTTGAAGTCTGAAATCTGTTTATCTTTTGACCATGCGGTGTATCTGTCTTCAGGTGACTGCCGGTGGTCCAGTAGCATTGAAGGAGATAGCACCACGACAAATCCCCATCGAGCAACTGGTCAGGAGCCCACTGTGTTACCGAAATGTTCTGATTCTTTGCACGCATGCAGCCTCCATGTCCATTAATTAAACCGAAGCACCGCGCCAGGAGCGAAATAGGTTTCCTCACGGAGGTCCATGGCCATCCGCCGCTTGGACCAGAGTTCTGAGCACAGCTACTTGCCAAGCCGATGAGGGCAATTTAACTGACTCTTCTTCTGACATTGTGCTCTTGAGGAATGTTGCGGCGCTCTACGGCGTGTTCTGCAGCCGCAAAAAGCAGCCCTGCCAGGCCAGGAACAGGGGAGTTTGTGTGCTAGCAATGCTTTTCATGACCCGTGCACGGAACGTCTAGCTTGACAGGATGTCCCTCCAGCGCAGAGTCCTGAAACACCTGCCTTTGTCGAGGCGACAGACGGTCAAGATTCCGGGCAGGACACTGCTACGACGGTCCAAGCTGCTCGCAGATGCTGAGCGGCAAACCCTAAAAGCTCACACGCCACGCTTGGTTTTGGCAGGACGAGGGGAGAGATCGATGGTCGCCCCCTCAGCATTCGTTGGCAGTACTTGATTCTCCTGGTTCATGCTCAAGTCAGTCTTTTCCAAAAGCCCAACAGAGTCCAACATCCACTAGCTTTTGCTCCGTCTAGTGAGTGTTGGTTGAAGGCTGATTGCCCTGGAATTATACTCCGGTGGAGATCTCTTTGAACATGTGCTGAAGCACGGGGCCATGCGGGAAGCAGACGCAGTGCCTTGACCTTGTTGTGGCCCATCTCTCGCCTGAGTCTCTGCAAGCCCAACTTGAGAGAGAAACGACGAAATCCAGGCTGAAGTGATGCTGGGGCTACTCTCCGCATTGGCACACGTGCACAGCTTGGGCATTGTCCACCGCGACGTGAAATGCGAAGCTGGGTTGAATCCTAGTTCGCTCCTGTCTTCAAATCTGTCATGCAAACGGATAGTCGCTGACTGGAAGGAGAACATCTTGATTGCTGATACACGTGCTGTACTGGCGGACTTCGGTGCTTTGGCAGATGATCTGTGGACGGCGAGTGGAGAGCTATCCGAAAGAATCCGGCGTATAGAGAAGGCGGGATTGGATTGTGTCAGCACGTATTCGGATGCTGCAGGTATTGCTGCGAGCCTCGCTGATGCTGGAGCGATGGATAAGACGCTTGGACTCTCAAGGGTCTACGAAGTGTGTAAGCTCTATTGAAACACATCTAAAAGGAGTCGCCTCTCGAGGCGTGTCGGATCGCCTGGCTACGCAGCGCCCGAAGTTCTGCAGCTGGGAGTATGTTGGCCCCATAACATCCCAAAGCCACAGAAAGATCCATGCTGCGTCTTCGAAGAGTACTTTTGGATTTTTGCCGTAGTTGTGGCATTCGCAGTTGCTTTTGTTGCCAAGTCGCTCAGCTTGAAGGGGATGCGTCAAGAGCTTTTCCCGTGATGCCAGCGACTGAATAGTTCGAATCAGATAGTTCGAGAAGCCTGTATTCACGTGGGCGCTGAGGATGGGTGAGTGCCTTTGCCGCAGAAAGGAAGGCGGAAGAGACCGAAACCTCTACCCATGTGAGTAGAGTTGCGCCCAAGGCCATACGACGAAAAGATTGATGTTTTTGCCGCCGGCGTGGTCTTGTGACTTGCTCTGTCTTACTCACCGTAGCTTGTTCTGCTGTCGATTCCAAGTTGAGATGGTACGAAGGTACTACTGCCTCTCAGCTGTTCTTCCGTTTGCCGACAGCAGCGTGGAGAGAATACTTGCCCGGACAGTGCGTTCCGGGCTCAGTGGAGAGCTTCTGTGAGCAAAGCATCCGCGACTCGAGAAGTCGGCAGGCTGTAAAGTTCGCATGGACCGCGAGCGCTTTGCAGGATTCTCTGGAGGCAGATGAACCCAGCACCTGCACGCACGGCTGTTCAGTTGTGATGCGCATGCATGCACACATGAGTGTGCGTCTCAGTGGCAATGTCAGAGTGAGTACGCGTGAGTGTCACTGAATGATGCCTGGGGGCAGGCATCGTGAAGCTCACGAAGACCTTGCTGATGAAGGCAGGCTGCCTCACTGCGTTGTATTATTTGCCTCGCCTCGCTTGGATGTATGAGTCACAAAAAGTCAATGTTTGTGCATGTGATGCGCAGATTCGGAAGACGCTTCGTGTATCCTTGGGATGTAAGAAGGGCAAGCACTGGATGTCCGAGGATTCTACACACCGCCCGGCCGCGAAGCGTTCTTTCTTCGCTCTTTGGATGTTGCTCTCACCGCAAGACCGCAAGTCTGACTCTTGGAGGCAACAGGTCTCAGCTCGATGGTGTGACTTAGTGTGTATCCGTTGCCTCTGAGGAGCTTGCACGACAGTCTTTCCAGGCAGTGCCCGATGATGCAGACGAAAGTCTGCATCAGAGTTGCCCCCTGCCCGGAATTCTCGATGTAGCATCTCCGCTTGCGCGGAAAGAGAACGAGAGATGCTCACCTGAATGGAGTTGGGCAGGGCTTCACAGGTGCAGATACATCGGAATGTGACTCCAGGGTCCAGGTTTCAGGTTGTTGGTGGCGAGCTGGGTCCATGGCAGCTGTCATGAGGACTCTCAACTCTGGAAGAGGCTGAGAAGCTGATCAAGCAACTGGGCTTGACTGGCTTGGCTTTGCCAGGGAGGCCACTTGGATGCTTCCGAAGTTTGCCTGACAAGGACTGAGCCCGTGAACCAACACTCCCAGCGGCCAGCGAAGGCATTGCAAAATCCTGCCATGATGTGCCATGCACAGAACCCACGGAGCCCTTCTCAGTCCCGCAAGGTGAAGCGGTCATTGGTGGCCGTGGGCCCTAGCGTAAAAGAGGACCTGGGACCTTGTGCCATCACTCAGAACGTTTGGCGTTCCTGGGATTTCCCCTGGAGGAGCAGCGTCAAGGGCGGGAGGTGTCTCTCCAGCCCAAGCGGAAGGACCCCTGCAGCGGTCCGACATCTCGACGCTCAGCCGTCTGTCATTGTTTCTGTCATCGGGTCGTGACCTTCAGGACACCGCTGCCAGTACCCAGGCCGCTTCAGGCTGGGGCCTGGGGATTTCCGGGATTTCCGGCATTTCGGGGCTCTTCGGAGTCCGGAGACTTCGGTGTGGACACGCAGCTGTCCACAAACTCAAGCCTCAAGTTCTCGGGTCCGTGTAGACGTGAGGCATTTCCACGACGGAGGAACCTGCTGGAGGCCGTGTGCCGCCGCTCAGCACGGCATCTGCACAGACGTGAACAGACGTCTTCGGAGGTGTGTTCTCAACTAGAGGCCATCGTCTCAGTGCATTTTTTGAAGTCATGTTTTGGGGAAAGGTTCCCCCCAGCGTAGCGGTTCTTCCTAGGCGACATGGAAGCTGCGAACCCAGATCCATTGGTGATGGAGATTCGGCGGCCGAAGGCGCCAGCATCCCCAGGCCTGCGCAGCTAGCTCCGGCTCTGGTTTACGAAGCCCTCTGGTCCTTTGCAAGCTCTAGGATTTTTTCGCGGACGCCTCCGCCGGTACGTCTCAGCAATTCAAGGCCCGCCTCACTTCCGCACTCAGCCTCCACTCTTTTGGAGGCCTCGGTCCTGTGCAGGTACTCCAGGACGTGTGGCAAAGTCTGCCCAGCCCTCGGTCACCGTTCCGACCCACTCAAGCCCCGGAAGGAGATGGCAGGAGATGACAGCAAGAGAGACTTTGTTTCCGAGCACTTGAGTAAAGGCTGCACTCCCCGAGCAGAAAAAGAGCTGAGGTCACGGGCTGGCGCAGACCGAGTCCGCAGTCCCAACACAGAGCCGGCGGCCCGAGTCTGCTTAACACCTATGCATGAAGCATTTGTGAGACTAGTGTGCACTAGAGACCCTACTGCGTGACTCGTCCTTGTGCCTCTTGGCGCTCCTGGGCTCCTTTCGAAAAGCTCCTTATGATTCGCACCGAGGATCGGTCTTCCGGAGCGGATGCCCGAGGCCTTCTGAGGGGCCTTCTGCGAGGTTTGTATCGGGCTCGGAGTTAGGATCGTCTCAAGGCTTTTGGGTGTCAAGCTTCCAAGTCGTGCTTGCTTGAGGTTTGCATCTTGTGACCTAGTTCAAGAGCTTGTGGTGGCTCTTCGCAGAGACTTTGATAACCTCGAGGACCATGCCACCACGTGCTTCCTGGTCAGACGGAGATGAAGAAGGAGCTGGGAGGCAAGCTCCATGGCAGTGAACTCCAGTAAAGGCAGAATCACAACTTCCACCACTATGGAAATCATCATTATCTCCTCATCCTCCTCATGGTCTTGGTCACCCACGTATAAGCCACTGCTGACCATCAATCATCAAGACCACCACCCATCATAACCGCAAACAGGTTCGTTTTCCATTCTTACACCATCTCACCATCCTGATAAGTCGTTGCAGCAGCGTGGTCGTAGAAGGCTCCCTATTCTTCAGCATCATTGTTCTGCCCCTTTCCGCCATCATGTTTATCATCATAACGGTGATAATCACACTCATCATCTTCTTGTCTTTCGCCATCATCTTTTGTTATCGCGACGGCATTTCCTCTCCTCCTCCTCCTGCTGCTCCTCCTCCCCCTCCTTCTGCTCCTCCTCCTCCTCCTCCCCCTCCCCATGGGTTCTTTTTGGGCATTTCTTTTGGTTTTCCCTGCGCCTGCAAGTGCCGACGAGTCAGTCAGCCAGTCAGTCGTCCGTCGATCCGCGAGCCCGCCAGTCAGTCAGTCGGTCGGTGCATCGGTCGGTACGCGAGCACGCCGGTCTGTCGGTGTCGGTCAGTCGGGCCGTCGGTCGGTTGGTCCATGTGCCAAGCGCCGGGCAGTCAGTCAGTCGGACAGTCGGTCCGCCAGTGTTTGAGATATATGATGGACCGATATCGCCAAATGAAGGGGTGTGATTAAGATATAGGATGAACCGTTATGGCCGAATAACGGGGGCGTGTTCGACATATGCGCTGAGCCGTTATCGCCAAATGGGGGGGGGAGCGTTTACAACATGTGATGAACCGTTGTCGCCAAATGAGGGGGCGTGTTCAAGATATATGATGAACCGGAATCACCAAATAAAGGGGGCGGCGTGTTTAAGATATGTGGTGAGCCGCCTCGCCACATGAGGGTGCGTGTTTAAGATATATGATGAGCCGGCATCGCTAAATGAGGGCTGTGTTCAGCGTAATCGCCAAATGACGGGGCGCGTTTAACATATATGATGAACCGTTATAGCCAAATGAGGGTGCTTGTTTAAGATATGTGGTGAACCGTTTTCGCCAAATGAGGGGGCATGTTCAAGATATATGATACCCCATGAGGGGGCGTGGCTCTGCAAACAGGTTGTGGACAGCATCGCGGGTCCCGATGATGACGTTTGTGGATACCTGTGAGTTGCTGCGAAGCTGCCAAAAAGAAAAGAGGTGTGCGAATGTGTCATATGAGGGCCGTGCAGTATGGTGCAAGGTCTGCATGACCCATGAATTCAAGACCAAAAAATAGTCAAAAAAGAACAGGTGCAGCCTTCACGTGAGGCCCATCCCCTGTCACTGTTATACATTTTCGACCATGCATGCCCAGAAAACCAACAAAAATACTCCCAACAATCCAAAAACATACCCCAAAAAAGCCTGGACCCATCCGTGATGAGAGATGTCATTCCAGTTCTACAGATCCAGATTCACATCCAACTTGGCATGCTCAGGACCAGTGCGCTGACTTGGCGGCATTGCTGGCACAAGGGGAAGAAAATCATGAGCTTGCGAGGCCTTGCCCGAACAGCCTATCATCACGGGGCCAGTGGTCAAGTTGTTTGTAAGATAGCTTCCTCTCCCATCCCGAATCAGATCATGATAGCATGCCTGCTGATGTAGAAACTCCTGCGCCTTCAAGGCGATTTGGCTCTGTAGCTGCTTTGTGGCACTGGGGGCAGACATGTGAAGTCGCTATTTCCAACCTGGGGTACCAGAAAGACCAGGGTTGGATTGATTTCGGGCTGCAGACTGAGGCCAGTTCGCCTCCACAGCTGGAGCCAGAAGCCTTGAACGCCAGTTACACGGAGGACTTTGATGCTGGTGCTCGCGACCGTTTCCGGGCACTACCGAGTACAAAGTTGAGAATCCCGTGCCTTTTGAACAGTGAAGGCATCGGCCAATCTAAGGTTGGGATGACGATGCAGAGAACTGCTCGATTTGCAGTGCATTATTGGGACGACGTGACGGGCCCAGCCTGTATCGGAGAGCTTCCACAGTGAGTATTGCAAGCTCGGCAAGACATCGCCGAGGTCGTTTGCGGCCTCGGCACCACTGTCGCATCTGTGGTCGCTGTGTTTGTGCGACCTGCCACCAGAAAGTTTCTCACAACCTCATGCTACAAGTCCTGGCTGGCTACAAGTAATTAGGATCAGCCTATGTGGTCCAAAAACAATGCTCTGCCGTGAGGCATCGTGTTCCCCAAACCTTGCGCTGATGCCCGGCTCGGGGAGGGAGCTGCAACGTGCTTGCACTCCCTGCATGGCCGTAGCTCCTCGGATCTTCGATTCTCCGATTCCGGTCTGGTCAGAATTTGGAATGTGGAGCTGCTGCCGGACTGCGCCAGAGCTGATCAACTGTGCTGCATGCGTCCGTATTTTTTCAGGCTTCTTGGCCCAAGCCTCTGCGTCTGGCGGGCAGTGTCAGACCCGGCACCCTGTGTCGACTGCGTGCACATGTCTAAGTGCGACGGATGTAGCCAACCGTACACACTGAGTACACCATCCCCTTGCTTTGCAGCTTGAGAAATACCGCGCAATCTACTGCAGTCCAGTTATACCATCGCCGGGTCAACGGCTCGTAGCAGTCTGCCTTGCCATGGCAAATGCTGAGACTCTCAGCTTCCAGGATCTCCTGTTAAAACTGGCAGCTGCACACGATCGAGAGGTTGCAAATGCCAAGGCAGCTTGACAAAAAAACTTGGTTTCGGAGCTGACCGCCTAGACTCCAAGATAAGCCATCGACCCAAGACCGGCACAGTCATATGAGTTATCTTCCATAGACACTGTGCTCCGAAGTCTATTTGGGATCAGTTTTGCAGCCAAGAATTGCAATGTCATGCGCTGAAGTTTAGCACACTGCCTTGCGAGTTGTCGCTCATTGCGTGGAGCTTTAAGGAGGGGCAAGAGGAGGCGCCTGCGATACCGGATAACAGCCAGCATCTGCGCCAACCGAAAGATCTGTCATGAAAATGATGAGTTCGTGTCGGATTTACAGGGCGTTTCTGCGAGACCATCTGCTAGTGACTGCAAATGACAGGAAAAGTCGAAGCTCCGGAGAAAAATCGAGGACACTCCTGCTGACCCATTCAGCGAGGCAAAACGAGTGCAATGCTGAAGGAGCTTCGGCAAGCAGCTGGCTCCGCAAAGAACGAGGTCAGAAAGGAAAACTCAGAGTTATCCGACGTTGAAGACTTGGACACAGGGTTTCTGCGGCGGCAATAAAGTGACATCAAGTTTTGTTTATTGTGTGGTTTACCATCGGCTTCGATCCATCTCGTCGTGCTTGGGTCTCCCATCGCTCAGCTCTCATTTTCAGAGCGTTGCCTGTGATTGTAGCCGACTCCTCGCCTACAAGCGGCGTCTATTTCCTCTCGGGATCCAGCGGGGCACCTACAAAGTCGCCTCCTGTAAGTAAGCAGCAGAAGCAGCACGTCGCAGCAACAGAATCGGGTCAATCGGGTCAAGCAAACAAGCGGATGGGAAACATGTGCAGCAGGTGCGAAGGTGGCTCGGATATGCTATAAGTTGTTGGGGGTTCTGCGGCCTGGTCTGCGGCCCAAGACCCCGGCCAAACTCGTGCAAGGCCATCCGAGGCCAGAGCTGCGTCGACTCTGAAAAAGATTGTCGCAGCGGTCATCCTCACATCTGCGCACTTGGCAGATTCAAATTCACTACTTCCGCTGCTAAGGCTGGTTCACGTGAAATCGGCATCCAAAGGACGATGTGAAGTTGTGCTTGGCTGAGCGCAGTTGGCACCTCGAGTCCTTACGGTGATTCTTCAGGATCCGGTGGAGTGGTGAAGCAGCCCCGAATGAGTCAGAGCTCGTTGGCTTCTGGGGGGTCGCCGATGCGGCTGTCTTTGCGGAACTTTTCAGAGCAGGAGAGCGCGTGCAGATCCGTGCAGCTGTGCAGCGAGCTATCCTCGTTGCCTCGTTGCTTGTGGTGTCACTCCTTGTCCCCATAATCGTGCAAGTCCTTGGCAATTCCGAGCCATGATCTGTGACGTCTTGAGCGGCCTGAAGGCTGAGCCTCATGCGTTGCTGCGCTGCTAGACCCTCTGGATGCAACGGCAGACACAGAGAGAGGGGTTGTGGCCATTTTGGCTCAAGTGCTGCACCTTTGCTTGGAGGTCTGTTCCGCCTCCTTGCATCCGGGGGGGAGACAGAAGATTGACCTAGGGCTTGCCCTGGGAAAGCCTTTCTGTTTCTCTCCAGCGGTGCTTGAGCTAACATATCCGACGCATTTCTGCTTAAGAGGCCCCTAAACGCCTGATTTCGTGCAATGTTCGCGGAGGGCAAGAGTGCTGAACTACACCTCTGTGGGGGACCGAGTGAGTGCAAGGTCTTCTTTATCGAAGCTTCTGAGGGGGAGGACAAACACCTCCTCACCTGCCGCCACCTTGCCTCGACTGCCGCGGTGACCCGGTGGAACCAGTACGCTGGGTGAAGAACTCCACCTCAAAGTTCGTGACTTGGGTCAAGAACGACAAGATAGCATAGAACAACTACATGGACCATGGCAGGACAGGAGGGGAAAGTGTGCAAGCTGTGCCGCTATGCCGAGGGGATGTGCCAGATCGGGTTTGGGACAGCCTCTACTACGAAGCCCTGCCCGGAGAAGGTCCTCTTCATGACAAGGAGGGGATTGCATCCACAATTTGATCCAGAACCGAGCATGGACCAGTGGATCAACTCCGAGGTGCGGTATGACTATGTATGACTTGCTGGCGGGGAAGTACATGAAGCCTACGGGGGAAGTGCTCAACGCGACCCCAGGAAGGACCTATGAACGTTTTCGAAGCAGGCACACTGCTCGCTGTCGCACGGGGGACTTAGCGGATAAGCTCACCCGTATCACCGACAAATATCTCCCGCTGGTCGCCAGTGACAGCAGAGTCTTTGTCATGCGCTTCCGCGAGAAGGTCCCCAAGCTGCTGAAGAAAGCGTGCAAAATCCGAAGACGGATCAAGGCCAAAAAGCAGGGGGATGCGAAGAAGGTGCCAGTGCAATCCCCAAGGAGGGGAACGAAAGAGCAGCATGTGACAAAGGAGGACACAAAAAAGGTGCCAGTGCAACTTCCGAGGGGGGGAAAGACAGAGCAGCATGTGACAAAGGAGCACGACGAAGACCAGGAAAGCATCCCTGATTGGGGGGATGACGCCATGGACACTACAGAGGAGAACCTGGAACCGGCGAATACCGCTGATGTGGCCGAGGGGCACGATCTTGCCTCCATCAGACAGCGGGGAAAGCGTTGGGATCCTCGCCCAACGCCCCAGCGAGCCCAGTGCAGTACCCAGAAGGCAAAGTACACAAGGGGGAGGCATGCAACTCCTGCAACAAGCTGTGCAACAAGTTCAAGCACACATGACAAGACGAAGAGAAGAACGGGGACTACACCAAGCCGAGCCAGACCTGAGCCGTGAGTGAGTCGGGGGACATTTTGTCCATACAATCCGTTGTCTTCCAGACATGTACAGCTTCTGCGCCAACTCGTGCCTCGCCTTCCTTACGCAGCATAAGGGGGAGGGGGGATGCTTTGATGATTGAGAACCTAGCTGTTGTGCTTCGCGTTTGGACTTAAGGGGGCCAAATACCTCAATCCTTTCATGTATTCCTTTCTGAATGGCAATCTGATCCATTCCGTGAGTGCATGTTTGATCCAACTCGAGTAACTTGACTTGACAGAGGCGGGGGAGCGAATTCTTTAAGCGGGCCATATGTCTGGCTCTTCTCGGGCAAACTCATTCCAACCTGGGCAAAACCGCCCTTAATCCTTGTGCCTTTTCAACGCCCCCCTAACCGTACCTGTCCTTCCTTTTCTGCGGGGAGCGGACTGACCAGATGGTGCTGAGCTTAGTTTGTTTGCCTGCTTTATGTGACTTGCTTGCTTCTCGGGGGAAACAAACCTGGTTAACCGCTCCAAGTTCGTGCGGCTGAGCTTCTTTCCGCGAATCGGAACGGGGATGGTTCCTTCCATGAACCGCAGGAGCGCGTTCGCGCGCGGGGTGTGGGGTTGGACCACCCTGCACCTCTTGCCTGGTAGAGAGAGAGAGAGAGAGAGAGAGAGGTGTTGTGATAGCAGCGCTCCTTGCCGTACGCACAGTTGAGCACTTTTACCGCTGTACAGGGGGGATGAGGCAATTCGTACCGGCACCTTTTTCCTTGTCCCTTGTTTTCTGGGGCTTCGGATGACCTACGTGTAACGGGGACTTACAGCCGTCGTTTCACGAAATCCAGCGGAGTGGAGCTCCGATGGGCGGGGGAGTTGGCCAAGTAATATTGTTGGACTGACGGTTTCGGTAGCCTCGTTCTACTGTTTTGCTGTAAGCTCGAGGCGGGTATTTGGACGGCCAGGAAACTCCGCCCAGCAGTTGTATCTGGGGAGACCGTGGATGACCGGTCATGGTCTAGGAGGGGTGTTTTTGGGGGGGTTGGGTTTACCAGCACATTCCGAGGAACACGTGCCTTCTCCCAACCCCGGAAAGGGTGACGCCGACCTTGCTGACACGGACCGTGGCGGGGTAGGCCTTCGGGCCAGGTCCCCTTGGGCCCCTTACCCCAAGCAAGCAAGCAAGCAAGCAACAGAGGGGTAGGCCCTCGGGCCAGGGTGCTTGCACCCAAACCCCAGGCAAGCAAGCAAGCAAGAGAGGTCGAAAGATCTGTGACGTAGTGCACAACTCGGCCTAAGCCCACTCACTATGTTCGGCTGTGTCCGAAGTGGTGTTTGCAGGATGGTGAAGCGGGCACGACGCCAAGCCCTAGGGCATCTGGATCCGGCATGCTGTTCGGGATGGTGCCGTCAAGCCCAAGTGCGCCCAGAGCATCGAGTTTCTCGGCAGCAATTTGAAAGACAGAGACTCCAGAGAGACTCCACTGGCTGCTGAGGTTCTAGCAGAAAGGTGGCACCTGCCCCTGTACAGGCTGCGTCCAGCAGGGGTCGCAGGAACAGTGCGATGCTGATTCCCGGAGTTCCAGCGCCGAAAACTCCCGACCCGAAAAAGCCCTCCTTCGGAGCCCCGTCACTGGGTGCTCAAACCCCACCCTTCACCCCACGATCCTCCAATGGAGCTCACCAGAGCCCGCAGCAGAGCAGGGCGCGAAGAGGCAGGGCATCTGTGGAGCGGTTCGTTGGCGACGGCACTGCAGAGCTGGATCGTTTTTAGGCGCTACCGTCGGCCTGGGTGGGTTCACTGGTGAGGCGCGTCGGGGCGGCGAGGGGTCTTCTACATACAACACTGTGATATGTGATCCCTTGGTGAGGAAGTTAAGCTGCTGCCTGTTTGGCGGCTTGGCTGAAATCCAGGGTTCAGCTGATTTATTTTGGGCTGCGCACACTTCCAAAAGAGACGTTGTGAACCGAGGAGCAAGTCCACTCAGGGACTGGCTGCCCGGGTCAACGTTAGATGCAAGTCTGCACTGAGCTGCTGTAGCTGTAGCGAGCGTCTCAGCGTCTCAGCTTGAACATAGCTCTTGAGATTCCACGGGCTGCTGAGGATCTGCAAACGCTGGCATGAAGGACGCGGAGGATCGGCTTTCAGAGGTGCTTGGCGTGTCACTCTTGCAAAGTCTTGAAACCTGTTCAGGGAAACCCGATGCCTGGCGATTGCGCAAGCCCAGAAAAGAAGGGAACAAACGGCTGCAGACGATGCATGCGATATATGCATGCGCTTCTCTCTGGCTTTGTCTCGGACCCGAGCTCTCCACGACGTATTACGTGGGAAGTCACTTGTCTTGCGAATTGCCGGTTAGAGCCTGTGAGGCTACGAGGTTTCGGTGCCTGATTTGAGGTATTTGGGCTATTGCTCATCATTTACGATCTCATTTGGCTGCCCATGCAAGTCTTCGACTCAACAGACTCACAATTCACCTTTGCGACCGGCGTGTTGTCCTCCATTTACTGGCCCTCGCCTCATTATGCAAGTGCAGCGCTGATCGGCCAGCAGTTTCTATCGCATGTCATAAAGTTTCAAGCCGTAGAGTGGCCACGCGATGCAGGACCTTCGACATCCCGCTGTCATTCCTGGTTGGCTTTGCTATCCAAGACCAAGGCACCTGCTCTTTGCATCGGCAGGGCTGGAATCCGAAGACCCCAGCAGCTTAAGTTCCAGCGAGCACTTGTAGCACGAGTTCGTGCTGTGTAGCAACAGGCGTTATTGAGAAGGATTTGAAGAAGATCGCATGGAACTACTGCACGGGCTGGCTGTCACTAGATCTCGCTATCGTGACGATCGTCCGGCACCCAGCGGCTCTCTGAGGTGTCTGCGTTTTATGGGCTCAGCTTGGGTACAAAACTTTGCAGCAAAGCCTGTCAGGACTGGGTGATCAACTTTCTGGACTGGACGAGCAGCTCATCGGTCAGTGCTGGAGAGGGTATCTCCTTCTTTCGCATCGGAAAGGCCGGCGAATTGTCAGGTGCAGCACGACTTCCTGGAGGGTTCTTCCTGAGTTTTTGTTGACAGCGAGCTTCTTTGTCTGCTTCAGGCGGTTCGTTTCCTGCGCTTGCTTCGCCTGCTGCGTCTGCTGAGAGCCCATGGACCGCGGCATTGGGTTCTAGATTCTAGATAGAATCGTGGTCGTTGTCAGGGTCAGGATCACACTGTCTGACAGCTTAGAATTGTTCGTGCCTGTCCTCAGAATGTGCTTCGCGAGGACGATTGAATGAGCTGCTGGAGCACGTGCAGTCTGAGCGCCTTACTTGCACGAAGGTTTGCAAGAAGCCGTGTCCATGAAACATCGAAAGCGTCACACTTGACAGCAGTTTACAACTCCTGAGGGTCTCCGTGATCTTTATCAGTGTTGCGCGATTGTGGCTCGTCGGGGAGCTAGTGGCTTCAGCACCTGAACAAGGATACAAGCGATGCGTCAAACCTTTCACTTTGTTATGCCCAGGATAGCTTTTATCATGCTGCTGAACCATATGGTTGCCTGTGCTTGGTTTTGGATCGGGAGCCTTTGCTGATTTCGGTACAGCAGCAGCTGGAAACAGATGCAGAGAAGCTTATCCAAGCCACATGTGCTGCACTCTCCCCCTGGAGTTCAGGCTACTCAACAGACCGGACACGTGGCTCCTTCAAGCAGATTCAGATATTCTCGTTGCACCCATGGCCTACCAGCTGCTTGGCCCTCGATGAAATATGGTACAGTACTGAGTGTGATGGGTCTCCCAGACTCAGGAGCAGGTTACAAGCCTCTGAGCATGTGCACATGTGCTGTTGCATCTGTTGCATGCTGTCTTACATTGCGGGTCATGCCGCTGACACGGCATGCCGTTTTTCTCGGGACTTCCGTCTTAAAGACAGTGCGTCTTTTATCAGATACCTTTGGTATCCTCTGGTCATATCCGAGGTATTTCACGGCATTGCACTGGTCGCTGACGCAGTTCACTCCAGCTTCAATGGAGGTGAGCCTGTCCGAGGGTTCTAGGGCACTTTCTGCCCTTTTTTTGCTTCGGTTTTCGTACGGTTCGACTTGACATGGAGCAAGCTTCTGGGGCTTGGAGCAATGACAGTGTTTTGTTGAGGTCGTTCCCAAAAATGAGATCGAGCGTCTCTTCAATGTCGTCGTCATCATCTCAGCCATGGTGATATTCTCCACATTCATCTCCGCCATCACCAATGCCATGAACCAGCTGCGAAACTTGAACAGCGACACGGCTGCACATCTATCCTGGACTCGAGCATCCTTTCGCAATCTTTCACCGATAACTCTTTGCATCCCAGGTGAGCGGAATGAGCAAGCAGCTCTTCTTCGTCGCTACATGCAGCAGTACCCCAACGTGGCCTGACTTTGCATCGCTGTAAAGCTTACCTGTGTGCTGCTGCTCGCTTGGTCAGGTCTCTGCGCCAGTGAAAGCTAGGGTGTGGCGGAGCGTTAAAACCCTGAGCCAGACTCGCTCACGCGTGCCAGCGGCTTACATTTCCGTTTCCAAGCTCGAGCTTACCGTGTCATGTGGTGCACCTGCACCAAAATCTCGACATTATTCGAGCTGGCTGGTGCAGGCACGAAGCTGATGATCGAAGCTGAGCTATTGCCTGCCATGGATGCACAGACAACCTGTTTGTGATAGGACCGTCTCGATTGGGTGCCCTCCAGGTCACACTGCTCCGCTTAATGCCGCTAAGTCTGCGGCATGATCTGAGCCAGGCTGGGTAGCCATTCTTGGCATGACCAGCTGCATCGCTGCATGTGTCATGCAATGGATATGCGAACCGAAGGAAATTTACTCCGCACAATTCCAACATCCATTCTTCGTTGTGGCTTGGTGGGCAGCAGGCGGAGATAGGACGCATCGGAGGCATGAAACACCGCATCATAGGGCACCAAATGTGAAGCTAACGCAGCGCCGGAGTTGAGGTGTGCGAAACGTGCTTCTTAGATCAAACGCGGAAGATCTACAGCACGGCTCTGACCGAGAAATACCTAAGCACTACACAAGAGCTGATCACTCGAGGTGAGAACGTGACTTGGCTTTGTAAGTCGTGTGGACCTGTGGTACATCTTTCTCCGTGCAGATCTGCCGAATATGCATTTTGCCATGCCATGTCAGGCTACACACATGTATTTCTTGAACAGTCGCGTGCCGGAGTCACTGCTGGAGTATTTTGAAGCCAACGCCCAAGTCGCTTAGCCGCAAACTACGGCTTCTCAAGGGTGCCTCTCGAGCTCATCATGTCCCCAGCCTCTGGTTGTGTGTCCAACGCATAACACATCCCGAACGGTGCCAGACTGCCAGAGCAAGTGCGAGCCTGATCACGATGCCTTCCTTGCCTGTGGAGGAGCCCACACTCAAACTGACTGCCGGTGCCTGGTCGCTTGTCTACGAAGAGAGAGCTGTGCCCTGGGAACGTCATAAGGTTGAGCAGCTACGGGTAGCACTAAACTAATTGGTTTGCTTGGCCAGGAAGGTCAAGCTTGGGTGAGTACTGACAGCAACTGAAGCCACATGTCTCCAAGGCTATGCGAGGCGGCCCTCTGGGTGAAGTGGACGCACAAGGGCACAGCCAAGACCAACGAGAGCTCCGGATGTGAAGTCATCTCCGTAGACGCAGGAGAACATCACAGACCCTGGTGGTAGTCACTGCGCTGAGTATGGGAACCAGGGGAGGGGACCTGGAGGTAAAGAGGAGGCAAAGGTCTGTCATGCTATGCACGCACCCCACGCGACCGCGACAGCAGGAGTCTTTCAGAGCATTCTCAAAGATGATGCGCCAGTGCGAGAGCCGGTAGCTCAGATCGCTGGACATGCATCAACGGTGCCAGCGCCAGTTCAGAGCTTCCGTGTCAAACGCACACAGAAACTACAGCAGCCACGCCCTGGCAATCTGCGAGCTTCCGTGGACACTCAAGTCAGAAACGAGACGGGCACATCCCGTTTGCCAGGATGTCACGATGGCCTTCCCCTCTACAAGGTTTAGTCTGCTTCTGTACCCTGAGCTGTGATGGCGACAAACTATAAACTAATTACAGAGATCTTGCATGCATCTATGATGTGGCACGCGCACACACACACACACAAGTGCACGAGACTATTGAGTCATGCTGCAGATATATCGCTCCTGAGAGGCTTATACATTGTGCCCGATGAGTCGGTATGAAAGTCTTGCCTACCAGCTAGCTAACAGCTAGCATGTGCGGTGGTGGCGATCATTCTTCCGGACGGTCGGCTCAACACTGCGTACAAACTCACTCTCCGTATGCTCCAGCCAGGGCTGGCTTCAGGCTTTTGGATTTTGAAACACAGCTTTAAGCTGGTAGCTTACGGATACGTGCATCTTGTTTCTGTCCTGGTTGAGACGCTGCAGATGCAAAAAATGATCTTGCAGCAATACACTCCAAAGTGCAGACGGAAGCTGCCTCAGTGCACGGCAGACAGCCGCTCACAGACCCCATAAGAGCCAATGGCCTGAGTCATCGCTGCATTCTCAGATATTCTCAGAATCCTGACAGCCAACAACTCATAGTCACGATGGCTGGCAGGGTCGCACCGGCTCATAGCAGAAACTGCAGGCAAACAAAAGCACGCACGCGCACGCCCACACACACACACACACCCACACCCACACCCACACCCACACCCACACCCACACCCACACCCACACCCACACCCACACCCACACCCACACCCACACCCACCCCCACACCCAC